TTTTGTTCTGTTTGTTCCTTCATAACATGACTAATGTGGAAATACATTTTATGTGATTGGACATGTATAATCTATATCTATACTGCACATGCATTATCTATAATCCCCATCTTGGGGAAGGAGGGAGGGAGAAAATTTTGGAATTCAAAATCTTATAAAAAATGAATGTTGAAAATTGTCTTTATATATGATTGATAAAAAATAATACTTATATTAAAAATATATTTAACTTAAATGCTTCAAAAATCTTACCTACTGTGCACTTTATAAGTATCACCAGATCTTTCATTCTTAGAGACAATAGTCTTTTGGAAACCTGATGCAAAAATTCCCCTGTATTATTTTTTGTTTGCAGAGAATTCTTGATCCTGTATTTCGTATTTTATTTTACTCTCTAAGTGATCTTATTCTGTATCCATATTCTGTAACAAATCTAAAGCCTTTTCTCTGTCTCTGTGTGAAGAAGCCCATATGCGCAAAAATTCAGTTTTCTCTTTGAAGACAGATATTTAAGCTTTTTCCATGATCACTATTAGTTAAAGAAAAACTCCATTCTCAATACTCTCATTGAACATTATCTCAGCATTTCCTGCAAGGTTTGTGTGTTCTCCTTGAAAAATTATCCCTGAGAACTAACTGACCTTGTCCCATCTTTAATCTCCAGTAGCCAGTGAGTCTATATACATGAGCCCCTATCAGTAATTTCAGGATTCATGTGGGATCCATAAAACTCACAAAAGCATTCCTTAGAGATAGAGAGAGGTTGTCTCTGTCCCATGTGTGGGCTATGCTCGCTTTCTTTGATGCAACCAATAATAATCCCTCATCCTTGTGATGCTAACCAATGATATAATTTCTGTTCTATTCTTTGTTCTATGTTTATAAAAATGAATTGTATCTTTAATTCAAGGTCTTTGGCCTGAGGCAGAGCCATTGATCCACCCATCCTTACAAGTTTGGCATCTTAGGAATAAACTGTTATCTTGCACAGAGAGTTGCCTCAGTTTACCCCTTTGTTAAATTTCACACACAAGTTTGTCTCTTGACCAATCAACTATACAGGGTGTTCCAAATCTTTTAGAGTAGTTTTAAGCTTAGTCTTCCCCAATTTTTTCATTTTTTTTTTGTAACTAGGAATAAATCAGCAAACTCTAACATCATTAGCTAGAATTTTCCACCAACATAAAAACATTTTAAAGACCTATTTTTTGTCTCCATTCTCGATCTTTCAAAAAATGCAAATTCACAGTGCATGATTTTATTGTGAACTTTATGGGTCTTCTTCTTTTAATGCTTCAGAGATTCATAATTCCATCAGTTTGCCTCATTTAGTTCATCCACTCCTGCTTGCTATCATCCTGTATTTCCTTTCTTTTGGGTTAACTTCTTGTGAAAATCATCTACAATTGTGCCTCTGTTTCTCGTTTTACTCTCTTGTAAACTCTCTGAAGTTTGGATTCTGATCTCATCATTCAACTGAAACTCCACAGCTACCAATAATTTCTTAATTGTTTAATCTATTGGCCTTTTCTCAGTTCTTATCCCTCTTGAACTCCAGGCAATTTCTCCTTGATAATCTCTTCTCTCCAGGTTTTTGGGGAAACTTCTCTCTTCTGATTCTCCTGCTGCTTGTCTGATTATTCCTTTTCAGTCTCCTTCACTAGATATCTAAGCAGGTCACTGAATATGGCTATATAGGTAGGGCTATACATGGGCCAAAGACCTATAGTGCATCTCAACCACTCAGAGCTACACTGATCATATGGATATGATCCTGGAGAAATGGGTTGAACACTTCCACAACATTCTCAACAGATCAATAAGACTATTTACCTCAGATTGAAGTCAATCCCTCTCTAGCTGAACTTCCAACTGAAGAAAAGGTTTTGAATGCCATCAGGCTCCTCTCATGTGGCAAACTGCCTGGAGCTGATTCTATTCCAGCTGAGATTTACAAGACAGGGGCTGCTCATACAAAAAAGGACTGAAATCTTCTGGGTTTTATGGCAAGAGAAGGTTATCCCCAGGAGTTCAAGGATGTCTCCATTGTCCATCTCTATAAAGGAAAAGGAAATAGGTTGTCCTGTGACAATCACAGGTGTGGGGGGTGTCTCTCTGTTAGTTATTGCCAGTAAGATTTTTGCCAGAGTCCTCCTTAATAGGCTGATCCTTCACCTGGAAAATGGTCATCTACCTGAGAGCCAGTGTGGCTTCAGAAAGGGCTGAGGAACTGTCGATATGGTGCTTGCTGCTCTGGACAACTCTAGGAGAAATACCAGGAGGAGAATAGAAGTCTGTATACTGTGTTAGTCGATCTGACCAAGGACGTTGATACTTTCAGTCATGAGGGCTTGGCATAATTTGGTTGCCCAGAGAAGTTCATAAGTATTGTTATGTCTGTTCCATGATGGCATGTTTGCATGGGTTCTGGATAATGGATGATGCCTTCATGCTGTTCCAGTACTAATGGAGTGAAGCAGGGCTGTGTGGTTGCTCCCATGCTTTTCGGCATGATGTTTTCAGTGATGTTGTCAGACACCTTCAACGAGGATGAAAATGTCATCAAGGTCAGCTACTGCACTGATGGTAAATTAACAGGAAAAGGCTACAAGCCAAGACTAAAGTGGAAGAAGAGTTGGTGTGTGACTTTTTGTTCAAAGATGACCCTCTGAAGCTGAGATGCAATAAAGTATGGATTGATTACCTGCCACTTGTGCTAATTTTAGCCTGACAATTTATACCAAGAAAACTGAGGTTCTCTACCAGCCAGCACTGCACCATCCCTATGTGGAACTATCAATTACAGCAAATGGAGAAATTTTGAATGCTGTGGATAAGTTTATTTACCTTGGCAGTATACTTTCCAAGGATGTACACATAGATGATGAGGTTGATGCGTCAGTTGCCAGAGCTAGCTCAATGTTTGGAAGCCTCCGAAGGAAAGTGTGGGAGAAAAGAGGTATTAGGCTACAGAAGAGGTCTACAGAACCACTGCTGTGTGCTTATGAAATCTGGATGGCATATCAGTGCTATGCCAGGAAATTGAATTACTTCCATTTGAATTGGAAGCGATTCTTAGGAAGATTCTGAAGATCACCTGGCACGATAAGATACTGGACACTGAGGTCCTTTCTTGGGCTGAACTGCCAAGCATTCAAACGCTACTGCGGAGAGCTCAATTCTGATGGATTGGCCACATTTTTTGAATGCCAAATGTACAAAAAGACTATTTCACAGAGAACTCACACGAGGCAAGTACTCACATGGAATGGAAGTCAGAAGTAGCAATATAAGAACATTCTCAAGGTCTCTGTGAAGAAGTTTGGCATTGACTGTGAGACTTAGGAGACACATGGCATGTCTGCATCGAAGAAGGCACTGTGAAGGAAAATTGCAGTAGCTCAAAAGAAACGTGGAACAAGCAAATTTGAAGACATCTCCACTCCAAATGTTTACTGGACTATTTGTGCCAAACTTGTGGTAGATGCTTCTAAGCTCATATTGGTCTGATTAGCCATAGTCAGACAAACTGAACCTTGATCCTGATATAGTGATGTCATGTTGGTCCTCTCTGAGAGCAAAGGACAATAACCAACCATTCAGGTCACACCCACTGAATGAGAAGGCTTTGCCTTGGGCCTCCAGCCATACTACGTTACTTGTTTCCTTATCAGCTCCCATGGATTCAAATACCTTCTCTCTGCAGATGATTTTCAAGAAATATTTATCCAACTCTATCCTCTCTCCAGTCTCACACCACCAAACTGTCTTTTGGACATCTTGAACTGGATATCCCAAGATATCTTAAACTCAGCATGCCCAGAAGTGAACTAACTATCTTTCTCCTAAAACTGTCCCCTCTTCCAAACTTTATTTTTACCATAGGAGGTACCACTATCCTCCTAGTCACCCAAACTCACAATCTAGGTATCATCCTCAACTCTTCTTGCTCTAACTCCTCACATTTAATATGTTGACAAGTTCTGTTTATTCTACTTTTGTAATATCTCTTAAGCACATGCCTTCCTTTCCTCTTACACTGTCACATTTTGATGCAAGCCTTCATCACTTCGTACTTGAATAATTGCAATAGCTTTCTTGTTGGTCTCTCTGCTTGATCTTTTCCTACTCCAGTCCATACTGCAATCAGCTGACAAAATGATCTTCCTAAAGTACAAATCTGATCATGTTACCATATCACCCCATTCAATAAATTTGAGTGGCTCTCTATTATCTCCAGGATCAAATTTAAAATCCTCTGTTGGTTGTTTAATGCCCTTCACATCCCATTCCCTTCCTACTTTTTCAGTGTTCTTACATTTTATTCCCCTTCTCATATTCTAAGACCCAGAAACATTGATCACTTTGTTGTTCCTAGCACAAAATACATGTCTTTTCAGTGAGTATCAGGTCTAGAACACTCTCTCTTCTTGACTCCACCTCGTGGCTTCCTCAAATCTCACCAAAAATGCACTTTATGCAAGAAGCTTTCTCAGTCCCCCTTAGTGTTAGTGCCTTCCCTCTGAGATAACCTCCAATTTATCCTGTGAATACCTTGTATATATATATAACTGTTTGCATGTTGTCTCTCCACTAAAATGTGGTCTCTTTCAGGGCAACTGCATTTGCCTTTCTTTGTTTCCCTAGTGCTTAGTGTAATGCTTGGCAGATAGAATACACTTAACAAATGCTTGTTGACTTCACTTGTTTGTTGTTCTCTGATGAAGATCATAATCCCAATTATACCAAAAGAAGTGTTCTTTATGAGTAGCTGTTGCTATTGTTCATCACCTGATGATCAACCTTTTGGCAATGGCCTGATTTTAACATTTGGAAATGTGAAATAAGGATTGTGGAATAACATGTGGAATCACAGTGAACATATGGTTGGTCAAACAATAAATATCACTATATGAACATGCATAAAAGTGATGAGCAGATCATTTGGACCTAGAGTCTTCTGGTTACAAGTTAAAATAAAAATTTGAAATTAGATTTACCCAGAATCTTGAGCTCAGCATTCGCATATATCGCTCCATGGGCATTTTCAGCTATGCATTGGTACATTCCAGCATTATCAAAGGTCAGCCCATACAGTCTCAGCTCACCTTTATGGTACTAAAAAAAAAAAAGGTAAAAGAAATATTCTTGATAATATTTTATAGAAACTATTTTACACAGGCTTGGACTTAGTAATTCCTGCACATGAAATAATAAGATGAACATTTGAAATTTCAGACTGAAGACCTCAGCAACCTGGGTGATGGGGGCACATGACTTTTCTATTAAATGGGGATGATAACTACACAGTTTACCTCATGAGAGTTTTGTGAAAGAAGCATTTTGTAAAATGGAGAGAATCATGTACACCTGAGCTATTTATAGTAATAATTATTATTATTTACACTATCTTTACTATTAGATAACTCAAAGTAGATAGGATATTTATGTCATGGGGAAGTAAGACCCACTTACCATGGCCTTACTCTTGTGCTATTCTTTTTTTTTGTTTTTTTTTGTTTTGTTTTGTTTTGTTTTTGTTTTGTTTTTAGGCAATTGGGGTTAAGTGACTTGCCCAGAGTCACACAGCTAGTAAGTGTCAAGTGTTTGGTGTGAGGCCAGATTTGAACTCAGGTCTTCCTGACTTCAGGGCCGGTGCTCCATCCACTCTTGCGCTATTCTTCCTAATGAACTCTAAGTATACCATTTTCTCTCTTTGGCCCAATTGAAAGGTTACAATTGAAAGGTAGTAGAAGATCCCATTGCTGAAACCTCTCTCCAAGACTAAGTATATTACTGGTAAGAGTTTCCCTCTTATTGTTTTTGTGGGATCAGGAAAACTGGCAAGAAATAGGGAGAAATATCAGGTGGCAGAAATGGATGAATAGGAAGAAAGGGAAAGTAAAACAGAGGAAAAAGGGAGAGAAAAAAAGAGGAGGTATCAGTACCATATATGTATCATAAAATGAACTTAGTAGGACTCCACCTATTTTCCCAAATAGTTTATATAGTATTGGAATTAGTTGTTCTTTAAACATCTGATAGAATCTACTTGTAAATCCATCTGGCCCTGGAGATTTTTTCTTAGGGAGTTCATTGATAGCTTGTTCATTTTCTTTTTTTTGAAATGGGATTGTTTAAGTATTTTATTTCCTCTTCTGTTAAGCTGGGCAATTTGTATTTTTTTAAATATTCATCCATTTCACTAAGATTATGATATTTACTGGCATACAGCTGGGCAAAATAGCTCCTAGTTATTGTTTTGATTTCCCCTTCACTGATGGTGAATTCATCCTTTTCATTTTTTGATGTTAATAATTTGGTTTTCTTATTTCTTTTTTTAATCAAATTGACCAAAAGTTTATCTATTTTATTGATTTTTTTCATAAAACTAGCTCTTAGTTTTATTTATTAGTTCAATAGTTTTCTTAATATCAATTTTATTAATCTCCCTTTTGATTTCCAATTTGGTGCTCAATTGGGGATTTTTAATTTGTTCTTTTTCTAGCTTTTTTAGTTGCATGCTCAATTCATTGATCTCTTCTTTCTCTATTTTATTCATGTAAGCATTTAGAGATATAAAACTTCCCCTAAGGATCAATTTTGCTGCATCCCATAAATTTTGGTATGTTGCAGCATTATTGTCATTCTCTTGGATGAAGTTATTGATTGTTTCTATGATTCATTGTTTGACCCACTCATTCTTGAAAATTAGGTTATTTAGTTTCCAATTAATTTTTAGTCTATCTTTCCATGGCTTTTTATTACATGTAATTTTTATTGCATCATGATCTGAAAAGGATGCATTTAATATTTCTGCTTTCTGCATTGTATTGTGAGGTTTTTATGCCCTAGTACATTGTCAATTTTTGTGTAGTTGCCTTGTACTTCTGAGAAAAAGGTATATTCCTTTTTGTCCCCATTCAGTTTTCTCCAGAGGTCAACCATATTTAACTTCTCTAAAATTCTATTCATCTCTTCAACTTCTTTTTTATTTATTTTGTGGTTAGATTTATCTAGTTCTGAGAGGGGGGAGTTGAGGTCCCCCACTAGTATAGTTTTGCTGTCTATTTCTTCCTATATCTCCCTTAACTTTTCCTTTAAGAATTTGGATGCTATACTACCTGGTGCATATATATTTAGTAATGAGATTACTTCTCATTTCTAAATATATACAGAGAATTGAGTCAAACTTATAAGAATAAAAGTCATTCCCCAATTGATAAATGGTCAAAGGATATGGAAACAAGGGAACAGGCAGTTTTCAGAGGAAGAAACTAAAGTCATATGAAAAAATTTTCTAAATCACTACTGATTAGAGAAATACAAACCAAAACAACTCTGAAGTATCACATCACACCTATCAGATTGGCTAACATGACAAAACAGGACAATGATAAATGTTGGAGAAGATGTGGGAAAATTGAAACACTAATGCATCGTTGGTGGAGTTGTGAAATGATCCAACCATTCTGGAGAGCAATTTGGAACTTTGCCCAAAGGGCTATCAAATTGTTCATACCCTTTGACCCAGCAATAACACCTCTAGGCCTGCAGCCCAAAGAGATCATAAAAACAGGAAAAGGACCCACATGTACAAAAATATTTATACAGAAATAGAAATTGAGGGGATGTCCCTCAGTTGGGGAATGGCTGAACAAGTTGTAGTATAAGAATGTAATGGAACACTATTATGCTATAAGAAATGATGAGCAAGCAGACTTTGGAAAAACCTGGAAAGACCTATATGAACTGATGCTGAGTGAAACGAGCAGAACCAGGAGAACATTGTATATAGTAACAGCCAAACTGTGCAATTACTGACTTTGATAGACTTGGCTCTTCTCAGCAATGCAAGGATCTAAGACAACTCCAAAAGACTCACATGGAAAATGCTATCCACATCCAGAGAAAGATCTACAGAGTCTGAATGCAGATGGAAACATACGATTTGCTCTCCTTTTCCTTTGCTATTTTGTTTTATTGCTTCATTTTCTTGGTTCCTCCTATTAGTTCTAATTGTTCTTTATATCATGACTAATGGGAAAATATGCTTAATATGAATATATAAGTAGAGCCTATATAAAATTGCACACCATCTTGGGGGGAGAAGGAGAGGAAAAAGAAGGGGAGAGAATTTAAAATTCAAAATATTATGGAAGTGAATGTTGAAAACTAAAAATATATAAATTAATTATTAAAAAAGATTCAAAAATAGAAGAGGGGCGTAAGATGACTAGAACCAGTTTAAGTTAGTCATAAAGGAGATATTTTGCACTCTATCTCTGGTTGCTTGTTTTTACATTTATTTACACAATTTAGGGCCTAGGCATATGTCACCATAGGAATAATCTGAAACGACATGAACATTTTTTTAAAAGTAACAAAAAATATGTGTGACCTACCGCATATCCATTTTTCAACCATCTGATTGTAGGGATAGGTTTGCCAGTAGCCACACAAGGCCAGTATAGATCACTGCCTATATCTGCCTCTGTGTCATTGATATGTTCTACCCATTCAGGAAATGCTAAAGAATAAAGATAATATCATAAATATGAAATGTAATAGCTGTCATTAAGCAACATTTTTTGCCATTTTAAACCATTTTTCACTTTAGGGATATAGACAAATATTATTTTCATTGAAATAAAACAAAAATCACGGATGAGTAGAATTGCACTGCCCTGGGTTAGGTATAATAATGCTATGTTACATATTATAGTACAAAGTGACCATATTTCATTACACCTTTCCTCCCTTTCAATGGATTGTAGTCCCATGTGGCTAAAACCAAGGGATCTTGGAGACCACTATACCTCCCCAGGATCACGAAGGTTTTGGAGGACCTTCTCTGAATGACAGCGATTCCTTGTAGTAAATTGTTTGCAGGCTCATTTCAGGGTAAGTGCCAATTTAATTAGAGAAAGTTTTTGCAGTTTGGGTTATTTATTGAGAACACTGCAGACATTCCATTACACTACCTTTGAACCCAGAAAGAGAAAATAAATTTACAAGCCAATGGCAGAGAGGTGGGAGTTGGTATGGTTATTCTTGAGTATGCTTGAAAGATACTAGGTCACATACCCATACCTCATGAGAGTTCTATATAGGAGATTTCTTCTGAGTTTTTTTTTCTCCATTCCCCTCCCATGATCAACCACACTCCTGCTTGTCCCCCTCCTCATAAGGTGTGTGATTGGGCTGAAAAATACGAGTCGCACTTTGAACCTATACTAAATGTTGAAATGTCATTTCTAATTTCTGAAATACCATTTGGCATGAAGAGGAATCATATTCTTAATTTGTTATGAGTGAATAACCTCTTGAGTCTTGTAAAAAAAAAAAAAGGAATAGTACATTATGGGAGGAGAGAAATTATCAGAATGATCCAAATGGATTGAGAACTGCAAGGATGACCTGAGCTAGAGACATATTTAACAAATGCTATATAAAAAATAAATAAATAAATACTTAGCTTATGGGCAATTGGTAGGAAAAGGAAAAGTATTGAACTGAATAGTACACCAGGTAGTCCAAATTAGGAAAACTCAGTTTGACTAGAACACCTTCTCATTTATGGGCCCAAAGAAGCAAAACAAAAGACCTCCACTGACCATGCAGATTTAAATAAAGGAGCCTATAGAAAACCTGTTAAAAGGTGGTATGATGGACAAAATCATTATTTTTGGAAAGACAAAGGACCACGGGCACAAAGGCCCTAACAACCTGATTCATGAATACCACTAGCAGGATAATCAGAGTCAGAACTGTTTTTGTTGTTTACAAATGTGGACTAAACGACCACATAACGTCCAATGTACTTGACAGCAGAAGGATGACTAAGAGTGGAAGAAACCAATTACCATGTAATCAGCACAAAAAGATGAAGATTGTCTTGGATATCTACAAATTAAGTATGATCTCCCCACTGGCAAACTATTGCAATGGTCCAAGTGTGAAATAAGCGCCTACACTAGGGTACTATCAGAGGAGAGAAGGAAATATATTTGAGAGATGTTATAAAGGTGAAATCGGCCAGCCTTGGCTGTATACAGATTGGATGTGAGTGGGAGAAATAGGGGAAGAGTTGAGGATGACTTCTGAGTTGTGCACACTGGACACTTGGGAGGAAGGTAGTGTTCTTGACAGTAATAGGGAGAAAAGGGACAAGGTTTAGGGAAAAGATAATGTGTTCAATTTTGGATATATTGAGTTTTAAATGCTAACTTTATCTTCATCACACCCCTTTTCAGCTTCTTTTTCTGTGTTGGCTTCTGCTATTAGAATATAACTTCATTGAGGGCAAGGATTGTCTTTCTTTTACTTCTAGTTGTAGTCTTAATACTTAGCACAGCATCTGGAACATAGTAAGCTCTTAATAAATGCTTGTTGATAAGCAATTCCAGCCTATTTAAAGTTGCTTTTCAGTTGTTTCAGTTATGTCCGACTTTTTATGACCCCATTTGGGGTTTTCTTGGCAAAGATACCAGAGTGGTTTGTTATTTCCTTCTCCAGCTTATTTTACAGATGTGGAACTGAGGCAAACAGTTTTGTCCAGAGTCACACAGCTAGTAAGTGTCTGAGGCCAGATTTGAACTCAGGAGAATTAGTCTTCCTGACTTCAAGCCTGACACTGTATTCACTATGCCACCTCACTGCCCTATTAGCATGATATTGCAAGTAAAAATCTGGGACTCAACACCTGAGAACTTGGACTATATATGCAGTTTGTATATTCATCTATAGGATAGTATAAGTAAGTAAGTAGCAGTAGTTAGTATCATAAGAGCATTGGGCCTTCAAACTCAATAATGCATTATGAAAAGTCTGACTTTATTTAATCTCCAATGCTAGAAGAAAGGGAAAATTAGTTGAGGCAATTCAACAAGAGGACAAAGATGTTCTCATTACATGAGTGAGAAGTAGGATGTACTTGAGAAGCAACCCACAGAATTTATCTTGGTGATTCACAATCATTCTACAAGTGATCTAGGAGATTCCTTTATTAGTTAGTCAGTCAACAAGCATTAACTAAGTGCTTATTATGTGCCAGGCACTGTGATAACCAATAAGGATCGAAAGAAAGGCAAAAAACAGTACTTGCTTTAAAGTAGCATACATTCTAATAAGAGAGACAATATGTAAGTAACTAGATACATAAAAAATACATACAGAATGGATAGAAGGTAATTTGAAACAGTAATAGCAGCTGTGGGGAGAGGGGTTGGGGAAGCCTTCCTACAGTGACCTGAGCCTTGAAGGAAGCCAGGGAAACCAAGAGACAGAGCTTTTGCAAAAGTACAGAGAAGGGATACAGAGAAGGGACATGGAGTGTTGAGTGTGAGGAACTACACATAGGCCAATGTAGCTGTAACGTAGAATGAGTAAAGAAAAATAAAGTATGAAAAGACTGGAAAGGTAAGAATGAGACATTTTATGAAGAGCTTGAAATATCGCATAATCTCCTATTTCATCCTGGAGGAAATAATGAGTCACTGGAGCTCATGGGGAAATGAACAGAGGATGGCACAATAAAGTCAGATCTACACTTTAGAAGAAATACCTTGGCAACTAAGTTGAGGATGGAGTGAAGTGGAACAGAGACATACAGCAAAAGGCTATTGCAATGGTCTAGTCAAGAATGATGAGGGCCTGAACTAAGGTTGTGTAGAGAACCAGGATGAGATGTAAAGACATAAGTGATAAAATCTGGCAATAGACTGGCTATGTGGAGTGAGTGAGAGTGAAAAATTAAGGATGACAGAATCAAGAATGACACTGATGTAAGCCTCAGTACTGGAAAAATAGTGGCGCCCTCCATAGTATTATGGAAATTTAGGAAAGAGGAGCATTACCAGGGAAAGATAATGGGTTCTGTTTTGGACATGTTAAGTTTCAAATGCCTATGGGATATTCAGTTCAAGATGTCCAAAAGGCACGATTAGAGCTCAGGAAAGAGATTAGGGCTTGACATATAGATCTGGAATCAACAGTGATATTTGAATCCGTAAGAACTGAGGAGGTCACCACGGGAGACAGTGTAGAAGAAAAAGAAAAGAGATCCAGTTTTTCAATAATATTTTATTTTTCCCCAATTACATGTTAAAATTTTTTAACATTTGGGTTTTTTTTTAACTTTTGAGTTCCAGATTCTATCCCTCCCTTCCCTGACAGCAGTCTGATATAGGTTATATATGTGCAATCATGTAAAATGTTTCCATATTAAGGACCCAATTTTCTTGAAGTATACCTACAATATGGATGAAGAACCAGCAAAGGATACTGAGGAGGCATCTGACAAGTAGGAGGAGAACCCAGAGAGATTAGTGTCACAAAAATATCATTAGTAGAGATTATCCAGGAGAAGGTAATCAAAACTGTCAAAAGCTACAGAGAAGTCACAGAGAATTGGATTGAGAAAAGGCCGTTGGATTCGACAATTAAGAGATCATTTTGAAGAGACTTTCAGTTTAATTATGAAGTCAGAAGTCAGACTTTAGAGAGTTGAGAAAAAGAGAGAGGAGAAGTGAAAGTACCAACTATAAATGACTTTCTTAAGAAGTTTAGCCATGAAGTGGATGAGATAGTTAATGAAAGGTTTTGGTTTTGGTTTTTTAAGGATGGGGTAAGCATGGACATGTTTGCAGGCAATAGGTAGGGAACAGTAGAGAGATACTAAAGATAATAGAGAGAGGAGAGAATTGTCCCCTCTTCTAGGGGACAATTTACTAGAAAAGTAGGAAGAGAATGAGATCATCACCCTTGTAGTGGCATTGGCCTTCAAAAGGAAAAGGTCTACCTCTCCATCCAATATAGGGGTGAAGGAAGAGACAGTGGGGGATTTCTTATGTGAGATGAGAAAAAGGGGAGGAAGAGGAACTTTCAGTGAATGACAAGTAAGAGAAAGGAGAGGAAGTATAGATAAGTGAAGATAGCTTTGTCAAGGAGTTATCATCACTAAAATTATCTAGGGATCAAAGCTGATTAAATTCTACAATACATCTTGGTGATAATATGACATCTGACATCCACATGCATAATATAATATCTACTATACTTGCTCAACTAGTAACTCATTTCATGCAAATTTTTCACAGGATTAGTTTGAGAATTTAAATAATTAAAAAATAGTATGTGCATGGTGCCAACCTGATGTATTTAGTAGCTGCTCACGTTAAATAGAAAGTCCATATGGCCTAATGGATACATTAAGGAAGATCTAGATTCAAATCTGGCCTCTGAAAAATAATCTAGCCGTGTGACCATGCACAAAATGTAACCTCTTAGAGGTAAAGCAATTCTTCAAGAATGTAAATTATATAGAGGAGTTACTGAGAAAGTCTAAGTTTCCTACACTGATCAAAACACAGATCTGAACAGAAGAAAATCTTCAGCATATAAAGTGGCTCTCAATATAAGAAACATAGTGCGTACATGAATCAAATGAGACTTCTACCTACCTTGGACGTAAATTCTTGCCTGATGTCTGTCTTTTCCTCTGATGTTCTCAGCTTCACATTCATAAGTTCCTTCATCTTCAAGCTGAATGTTGAAAATCTTAAGAACTGCCCCAGACATACTAATCTCAGCTGTGCTTGGCATTGGTTCCAGAACTTTTCTCCACCGTATCTCAGGAACAGGGCTTTATAAAGGGCAGAAAAATACTAAAAGGTCCACAAAATGTGCAAGATAGTTGTATGAATTTAATGGCTAAACCAAGACAAAAATATTTTCTCTTCCTTTTGTGCCTAGACCAATGGCATCCCCATGTCACTGGAAATTGGTGGAACTTGAGAAACCTAATTTTTTTTAAAAATTTGGATTCCTTTAGTGAAGCATGATAAAAGGATAGAAGGGCTGAACATGTTTGCTAAGTGGTCAAGTAAGAAGAGCTTCTCCAGTGGCAATAAAGTATTACCGCAGTCTAGCAACCCAAATGATCCAACACAAATTCATAATAATTTTCAAATACAAGAAAAAATAAGACGATAAGATAAAATGTTAAAACTTAGACTGTCAAGTCTGTTATGTGATAGTTTTCATTACAATAAGAAATGATGGATCTGAATTCTCTAAATAATTTTAATTGCTTTTCCCCTTCTCCCTCTTAAAGCATAAATAGAGTTACTCTACATGCTAATTAAAAAAAAAAAACCACACACACACTATACTTACTTTCCAAGGGCAAAACACTCTAATGTTACATTATGGCCCATCAGTGCATATGTGTCCTTGAACTGGACTTTGATATCAGCAGGATACAGTTTTGTTGAGCCTAACATTAAGGAAAGTATACAAAAGATAATCTGTGAATTATTTGACCTATTGACCATTTTCCCCTTAATTCCTTGACTTTAAAAGGCCTAGAAATGCTATGAAATGTGTATTATTTGTATGCATTGTTATGGTTCTGTATACTAAGGCTCTTGAATAATATGTAATTTTTTAAAAGTCTCAAATAATGACGTTGATTAAGTTTTTAAAAAATCACTTTATTGGCTGATTCATATTGTCTAGTCAAACTGAGTGAATAGATGCCAAAAGGAACAGAGAGAGAGGAAAGGACGATGGGATGACAAATTTAGAACTGGAAAGTACTTTACAGGTCATCTAGTTCAATTCTCTTATATTTATTTCTTTATGTCATCATTTGATTTTATTCTTCACTGCACCTAAAACAAATAACAATGTGCTTAGGTGCATATCCTGGACCAACCTGGCAGATACCAGCCCATACAAACCACAAACACCTTAATCATGTTTCAGAAAATAAATCAAGTTCAGCTCTATAATGGCAAGCCTCTCTGTAGGGTGAGATGAAAAAATATGGAATTGATAAGATAATAAAAAATAAATTGTTCATTTCTAGACAAAATGGAGAAATTTTCACCTGAGGTTTCTCTCCCAAAAAAGCAAACTGCAACAGAGTCAAGTCTCAGAAAATCTGAAGTTTGATAAGTAGAGCTCTGGGACACTTCTGAGATTATCTTGTGCTGTAGATGCCTCTCAGGACTTATGTACATGGTGATTGAAAAAGAGCTGTGTGTGAACTGGTTAACTTATAGGGGTTTGCAGCCAGGGGAATTGACAAGGTTCCCAAGAAACCACATTCAGCCTCTATCCCAGACAGAGCCCTGCTTTAGAGATAACGAGGGGAAATTCAGGGACAGAAAGTCCATAAATATTTGTGGAAGCCACTACCTGAGGTGAGTAGATGAAGGTAGTAGAAGAGGCCCAAGTTTTGAGGGAGGGCTCTGCCTATTAGAAGTTACCACAAATCCTGATAGGCCCTTGGGCATGGACTTCTGGTGACCTTCTGAGAAGAGCAAAAAGACTGAACTCGGTCCAGAGGAGAAACAAAGGACTAGGTCATTCATGAACCAAAGAGGAAAAAAATATTCAGGGGGTGAGTTCCTCTGAAACCTATCAGCCTATAAAGTTTTTAGGACATTGATGGCAACTTTCATTACAATCCCTTTAATAATCTCACACTGAGAGCAGACACTGCCACTTGACTGGTAATTTGCCCCCCCCTCCCAATATGGGGCCTTCATTCAATTAACAAGAGCAGTCACTTTGGCCATCCGGTCAGCCTTTGTCCACATAAGCATAGTCAAACACAGGCTTCCCTAGCTTCGTGTTAGGTGGTATGCTGGGGTAGAGCAATCAAGATAATATGCAGCCAATGTGTATAAGAAAGTCTTACTATTTTTCCTCAGTTCCTCCCAAAACAGGAGGCAATATAAGGCAGCCATTATGCTCCCCCATAGATGCTGCACCTTCATCATCTTGAAGATGATGTAGGTCACAGTCAAGTGGCAGAATTCCCCAAGGGACTTCCTTTGTCTCCTGGCTGGTTGGAAGGAGAAAAGGCCAGCAGTCATTACATTTGTAATGTCCAATTCTCTCATTTTAAAGATGAGGAACTGAGATGGAAAGAGGTTAAGTGATTTTTCTGAGTCCATGCAGGTCATAAGTGAAAAACTGATAGTCTCTTAACTGCAAAATGATCTATTTGATATCACTGAATCTAACTATAGAATTGTCAGCTCTCAAGACACAAATTTATTCATATATATTAATGGATTCTTTATGACCTCCTAAGTGGTGCCCCTTGTCAGCTGAATTTTCCTAGTTAAATCAGATTTAGTTATTATAGTTAATGTTGAGAAAGTATTTAATTCAGGAGCACTTATGGACCATGTCTACCGCAATCATCCTAAAGTATAAACTGGCGAATTCATTTTGTAGAATGTATTTAAACTTTAAAACTTTAAAATGTTTTAATAAACTTTAAAACTTTAAAAAAGAAAAATATGTGCAACACTGGTGTTTTAGATTGCTCAAAATTTTGCCATTTAGTACAAATGACAAATACTTTAATAAGATTGACTGACAGAAATAATAAAACTGAAATTCTGTAAAATGTATAAGTATATTCTTCACACCATAGAATGTTAGACCTGGAAGAGACCTTTGAAAATATTTAATGCAACATATTTATATTACAGGTAAAAATACTGAGCCTCATAGACTAGACTTATGTGACCCTAAGTAACAAAAATAGAAACTATGGGTAGAAATCCAGAGAAGATGATTTAAGCTTGACATAAGGATTTTATCTAGTAGAATTCATCCTTCCCAATAATTAGAAATATCTAAAACTTGGCTTTGATGAATCTCCAGTTAATAAAAATTTTTGAACAGAGACTACATGACTGTATCCCAGCTATCTTGTAAAAATAGATTTTTGTTCAGGTATAGTTTAGACTTAATGGCTTCTGTGGTCTCTTCCAATCTGAGAAATCTGCTAGAATGTGAGTATGTGGGATACACACCCACTTAAAATGGCAAAAATCCTTTAAATTAATACCAAGAGTATGGGATGTTCCATATCTGATTACCTAGGGAGATGATACTAAAAAAACTTTGGGAAAGGCAGAGCCAAGATTGTGGAGTAAAGGCAGGGACTTGCCTGAGCTCTCCCCCAAACCCCTTCAAATAACTTTTAAAAATGACTCTAAACAAATTCTAGAGCAGCAGAACCCACAAAAAGACAGAGAGAAACAAATTTCCAGCCCAAGACAACTTAGAAGGTTGGCAAGAAATGTCTGTTGAACCAAGGTAAGAAGGGAACACAGTCCAACATAGGCTATACCAAAACAGACTGGGTCCCAGCAAGCCACGAACGGCCTTGGGAGTCATTGAATCAGCAGCAGCAGTGGTAGCAACTGCTTCAGCCCATAGACATGGCGGGTAGAGGGGAACAGTTGGTCAGAAGGAGATCACAGGGGTCTTTTTGATAGTACTGAGGCAGGACTCTGTGGCTTTGCCCATATTCAGATCCGGGTCTCAATTCTGGGTGGCAGTCCCAGGGTGAGGAGGAGCACTAACATAGCAGAGCTTGCAGCCGCAGTGGAGCCGGGATCCTCCTCACAGTGCCAGGACAGAAAAGAGTGCTTTTGATCCCTCACGGACCACAGCACAGGCCAGGGGAGTAGTAAACACCTCTCTTTATGGCATTCCACCTTGTAAGAACTGAAAACTTACAAGTCCCTAGAAGTACCTCTGAAAACAGCTGCACAAAACCCTGAAGCTTTGGACAGTGCACCCTCCACCCTGGAAGCAGAGCCCTACTTTAACAAACAGTTAAAAGACAAGTAATAGGCTGGGAAAATAAGCCAACAACAGAAGAAAAAAAACCTCTGACTGTAGAAAGTTACTATGGTGACAAGGAAGATCTAAACACACACTCAAAAGAAGACAACAAAGTCAAAGCTCCTACATCCAAAGCCTCCAAGAAAAATATGAATTCGTCTCAGGCCATGGAAGAGCTCAAAAATGATTTTGAAAATCAAGTAAGAAAGGTAGAGGAAAAATTGGGAAGAGAAATGAGAATGATGCAAGAAAATCCTGAGAAAAGAGTCAACAGCATGCTAAAAGAGACACAAAAAAATACTGAAGAAAATAAGACCTTAAAAAACAGACTAGGCCAAATGGCAAAAGAGGTCCAAAAAGCCAATGAGGAGAAGAATGCCTTAAAAAGAAGAACTGGCCAAATGGAAAAGGACGTCCCGAAGCTCACTGAAGAAAATAATTGCTTAAATATTAGAATGGAGAAAATGGAAGCCAAGTTTTCTGAGGAAAGCATATTTTAAACTAATGCATTGTTAATAAAGTGACATTTGCATAAATTGATTAATTCTTTAGTCTTCAAATTTCCTGCAGTTTCACTATGCTAGATTACTAGTATTGGTAAGTCCCTCCAGCCTCAAGAGCAACCATTTGTAGTTTTGCTCTTTATGGAATAATTTAAAAGAAATCACTTTAACCGTATTTCTATCAGATTCAAAGAACTTAGAATAAAATAGAAATAATCATTTATATTAATATTTAAAAGCCAAAAACAAATCAACACAAATGTAAATGAATATTCCCCCAAGAGAACTACAAATATTTAGGACACTTGTTTTATATATATACTATGTGCACGTACATTTATATTTTTTAAATTAACAAAACAAATACTTACGGTCAGAAAGAGGGATGAGTGGGATAAATTTGCTGAATACACTCTTTGTAATTGAAGGACTTGATACAAAGCATGAATAATTGCCTTTATCAGTTCCCTCTACATTTGCAATATATAGATTTCCATTGGTCTGAGATACATATCGTCGTTTGTCCATTGTGATGAATATAGGAAACTCATTTAGAAGCCAACGATAGCTAAGATCATCTGGAATATAGTAATTTTTATTATTTAACATTAGGAAAACAATAACATTTGCTAGTAACACAATAGATTTATAGTATGCAACCTTGAAATATAATAAGTACTACAAATAGCATAGCAGGTTTGGACCATCAGAGTGATGCATTATCATATAAATTCATCTCTTTTTTAAAAATATACTTGCTATATAGAATGGAAATAAACTTGGCATAATTATTGTGGCTATAATATATCCATAAAAAATGAGGAAAGGCAATTAGTGCTACTGATGCTTCTAAATATGGTACTCATAATTTGATGATCTCTAATTTCATTAGAATGAGTACTCCCTCCACTAATATAGCTCAAAACTTCCCTAATGTCATCTCATTTTCTCTAATTCTTTCTCATCTTTTCATAGATCCCCCATGGAAAATTCTAGTGCACTAGGGCATCCCATTCTCTTGTTTTAACATCTCAGGGATACAAATGCATTGCTCTGACTGTTCATCTGTCTGTAATTCTTAGTACATAATGGTAATAATAATTAAGAATTCACAAGTATCTAGTACTTTGAAGTTTAATTAATATTTTCTTCCCAACAATCCTGTTAGTCATTTAGTGGAAGTGTTCTTTGTTGTTGATTGTTTTGGGTACAAGGGTTGCTCTAGAGCTATGATTTCATTGATGTAGGGAACCTCATTTATAATTTAGAGTCTTGTAGAGTTTTCTGAAGCACTCAAAGGTTAAGCGATTTGCCTGCAGTCTCACTCCTAGTGAATGCCTAAGAAACTTGAACAAAAGGTCTTCTTGAACCCAAGCCTAGCCCTCTATCCACTAGTCTAAGATACCTCTACTGGTATTACGATTCCCATTTTACAAATTAAGAAACTGAGGCAAAAAGAGGTTAAGAAATATGCCCAGGGTAGTAGTAAGTATCCAAGCCAAGATTCTAACCCAAACTTTCTGACTCCAAATTCAGTGCATTTTCCCTATATCCTGATTCCCCTACTCTATGGTCATTTATACTACAAGTCATGATTATTGCGCTATATTCTATTTTTATCTATTATGCATCTTTTGAGTTATTTGCAATGATATTTCTCTGGAGACTGTGGCTTCCGATAATTCATAACCATACAATCTCACCGGAGCATTGAAGATCGGGTTTTAGAAGAATAAAAAGTGTGGGGTCATTCAAAACACTGAGCAGTTTTTCAAATATGACCCAGCCCAATCTCCTCTTAATACTGAATTCCAGGTCTGGTTCATTGTCCATTTGAATTGTCTGTCTAATTTAAAGCTATTGCTTGACTAACTTGATTGGCTGTCTATCCAAGTATATGTAACAGGGCAATATGAAATTCTGTTTACTCAATTTTTCTACTGTGGATAGTAAGAACATTGTCTTTCCCTTTACTATGGATTTTCCTAAGGAGACTTTGTAGTGTTTTGAGTTTTTGATTCATTTAATACAATGTAAACTGTAAATAGGATCAATTTGAGAACCTGGACATTTCACAGAAAATCCTTTTAGTTGGAGCCTGATGAAAACTACAGGTAATCATATGACTCCCCATTTTACATCTTGCTTATTGTTGATATTTAGTGAATTGTTAAAGTTATTTCCTCAGTTGAATCTGTTTAACTTTTATAACTATGATGTATGTATGGCAGATATTTAGACTGAATAGAACTTATAAATTTGTATTTTATTCTGAGTCAGATTCTTTTTTTAAAAAATCAACTAATAAATAATGGAAAATAGTTGACACTCCTATAGAGCTTTGTGATTTTGCCACATTTTTGGTACATTATCTTGTTTACAATTAAAGATCTTATATTCTTTATACCTCTCAGTCAGTTATATGACTATAAAGATCTAGACTGAAGAAGGAAATCATCCATAGTTGGGTTTTTTTTTTTTCATATTTGCAAGGATAGCCTTGAGGAACATAAAGCTCATTCTTATAAAGACAAGATGAATGAAAGTAAGCTTATGGGTCAATAATTATTTATATTCTCTCACTTGCCTTTTCTGGTAAATACATTCTTTTGGAATCTTTTCCTTTTTGAGATATCTTGAAAATTGATCCCCAAGGGTACTTCTGGCCAAGACAACTGGCTGCCTGAATAAGTGGCAGGCTTCCAGGATCCCACATCCTTACTCCAACTACAAGTTCACCCCAAACTAAATAATGATCAAGAACCTCTGAACCCCAAATATCCAGGGAGGTCTACCATGGGAAGTGGAAGCCAGTGTAAGATCCAGGGGCTGCAGGATAAGAGGTAAAAACAGGGTAATAGGTAAAACCAAGCAAAACTAACCACTCCATTCAAAAATGCAGTTGGGGAAGAGCCTAGCTCTGCTGTAAAGCCCCAACTCATGAATTAAAACTGGAAGAATGAGTACATCAAAGAAAACACCATAGAGTATAAAATATTATTGCAAATCCAAACTCAAAAATGACTGCAAACAGAGATTTCTTTAGCACAGAGTCAAGATGGCAGATTACAGACAACAACCCAGTCAAACTTTCCCAACATTCTCCTCCAAACAACTTTTAAAAAAATGCCTCAAGTCTGGTTTTGGGGTAGCAAAGTCGGCAAAAGGTTGGGGTGAGACATTTTTCCAGCCCAAGACAACTTAGGAAGTCAGCAGGATAGGTCTGTGACACCTACAATGCACACAGTCACAGCATTAGTAGCAGGCCTTGGGGGTGGCTGTGGCAGTTTCAGGACCTCTCAGTTCAGACACAGTAAGGAAGTTGGACAACTGGTCAGAAAGAGATTACACGGACTCTTTGCTGGCACCAGATGCAACTGACATTGATTGGGAATTCAATTGCCCATAAGCAGTTCTGGGTCACAGTTCCAGGGCAGAGAGGTATGCTGGTGGTCAGTCACAAGAGAGCAGGTGCCCTGGTCACAGTTCTAAGGCAGAGACGAGCTCTAGCACTTGTAACTACAGGGAAACAAGGATCCTTTCTAGGTAAATACCAGAGCACAGACGAGAAGATCAGTGACCACGCCTCTCCCTAAATTACAACAAATTGGAAAAAGACAAAACTTGCAGACCCCCAGAACTAGCTCTGAAAATAGCAGCATGAAAAAACCTGAAGCTTGGCACAGCACCTCTCCACCCCTAGGTGAGCAGAACATAACTTTAACATAAAGTTCAAAGTCAAGAAATTGGCTAGAAAAATGAGCAAGTGGGGCAGCTAGGTGGCACAGTGTGGGGCTAGGTGGCGCAGTGGATAGAGCACTGGTCCTGGAGTCAGGAGGACCTGAGTTCAAATCCGGCCTCAGACACATAACACTTTCTAGCTGTGTGACTCTGGGCAAATCACTTAACCCCAATCACCTCACGAAAGAAAGAAAGAAGGAAAGAAAGAAAGAAAGAAAGAAAAGAAAAATAAGCAAGCAACAACAACAAGAAGAACTTGGATATATAGTGCTACTATGGTGACAGGAAGACCAAAAAGTAAACTCAGAAGACAACAATGCCTCAAAGAAAAGTGTTAATTGGACATAAGCCCAATGAGAATTCCAGGAAGAGTTAAAGAAAGACATAAAAGCTGTAAAGGAAAAATTGGGAAAGGAAATTAGAATGGTACAAGAAAATTATGAAAAAAGAATTAATAGCTTTGTAAAAGAGGCACAAAAATTCACTGAAGGAAAGAACTCCTTAAAAAGAAGACTAGGTCAAAAAAAAAAAGAGATACAAAATCTCATTGAAGAAAACAATTCCTTAAAAATTAGAATTAGGCAAGTGAAAGCTAATGACTCTATGAGATATCAAGAAAGAATAAAGCAAAGTCAAAAGCATAAAAAATAGAAGAAAATGTTAAATATCTCATCAGAAAAATAACAGACATGGAAGACAGATAAAGGAGAAATAGTCTAAATAAATTAAAAAATAGTCTAGACATCATATTTCAAAAAATTATTGTGGAAAACTGTTCTTATATTCTAGAAACAGAGGCTAAAGTAGAAATTGAAAGAATCTACTAATCACCTCTGAAAAGAGATTCCAAAATGAAAACTTCCAGGAATATTATAGCCAAATTTCAGGCTCCCATGTCAAGGAGAAAATGTTGCAACAATTCAAATGTTATGCAACCACAGTCAGGATCACACAAGATTTAGCAGCTTCCACATTAAAATGGATGAGAAGGCTTGGAACATGATATACTAGAAGACAAAGGAGCTAGAATTATAAACAAGAATAACCTATCCAGCAAAACTGAATATAATCCTTTAGGTAAACAAATGAATATTTAATGCAATAGAGGACTTTCAAACATTCCTGATGAAATACCAGAGCTGAATAAAAAATATGACATTCAAACACAAGACTCAAGAGAAGCATAAAAGGGTAAACATTAAAGAGAAATCATAAGAGACTCAATAAAGTTAAATTGTTTGCATTCTTATATGGGAAGATGATACATGTAATTGCTAAGAACTTTATTATTAGGGCAGTTAAAAAGTAGTCTACATAGACAAAGGGCATGGTATGAATTGATTATGCTGGGATATTCTCAAAAAAAATGAAAGGTTGAGAAAGAGGGATGTACTGGGTAAAAAGGGAAGGGAGAGGGAAAAGGGGGTGAATTATCTCACATAAAACAAACATGCAAGGAAGGATTTTTACCATGCAGGAGAAAATGGGAGATGGTGGTAGGCAATATTTGAATCTCATTCTCATCTAAATTTGGTGTGTGTGTGTGTGTGTGTGTGTGTGTGTGTGTGTGTGTGTGTATGTGTGCATGTGCATGAAGTTTGAGACAGCACCTCTCCACCCCCAGCTGAGCAGAACCCAACTTTAATATGAAGTTCAAAGTTGAGAAATTGGCTGGAAAAATGAGCAAGCAACCAAAAAAAAGGACATGACTGTGTTTGTTGTTTGTCCTTCACTGTTAAAGAGGACCAATGACATCAGAAGCTTGATGTCTTGACTTGCAAGTGAATTGGAGGCAAAGCTGTGCAAAGTCATTAGCCCCACTCTTTTTTCCAGAGTT